TGAGAGTCTGACGGGACAGAACAGATGAATGATGTGAGAGTCTGATGGGTCAGAACAGATGAATGATGTGAGAGTCTGACGGGACAGAACAGATGAATGATGTGTGAGTCTGACGGGTCAGAACAGATGAATGATGTGAGAGACTGACGGGTCAGAACAGATGAATGATGTGTGAGTCTGACGGGACAGAACAGATGAATGATGTGTGAGTCTGACGGGTCAGAACAGATGAATGATGTGAGAGACTGACGGGTCAGAACAGATGAATGATGTGTGAGTCTGACGGGACAGAACAGATGAATGATGTGTGAGTCTGACGGGTCAGAACAGATGAATGATGTGAGAGACTGACGGGTCAGAACAGATGAATGATGTGTGAGTCTGACGGGTCAGAACAGATGAATGATGTGAGTGACTGACGGGTCAGAACAGATGAATGATGTGAGAGTCTGACGGGACAGAACAGATGAATGATGTGTGAGTCTGACGGGTCAGAACAGATGAATGATGTGAGAGACTGACGGGTCAGAACAGATGAATGATGTGTGAGTCTGACGGGTCAGAACAGATGAATGATGTGAGAGACTGACGGGTCAGAACAGATGAATGATGTGAGAGACTGACGGGTCAGAACAGATGAATGATGTGAGAGTCTGACGGGACAGAACAGATGAATGATGTGTGAGTCTGACGGGTCAGAACAGATGAATGATGTGAGAGACTGACGGGTCAGAACAGATGAATGATGTGTGAGTCTGACGGGTCAGAACAGATGAATGATGTGAGAGACTGACGGGTCAGAACAGATGAATGATGTGAGAGTCTGACGGGACAGAACAGATGAATGATGTGAGAGACTGACGGGTCAGAACAGATGAATGATGTGAGAGTCTGACGGGACAGAACAGATGAATGATGTGTGAGTCTGACGGGTCAGAACAGATGAATGATGTGTGAGTCTGACGGGTCAGAACAGATGAATGATGTGAGAGACTGACGGGTCAGAACAGATGAATGATGTGTGAGTCTGACGGGACAGAACAGATGAATGATGTGAGAGACTGACGGGTCAGAACAGATGAATGATGTGTGAGTCTGACGGGTCAGAACAGATGAATGATGTGAGAGACTGACGGGTCAGAACAGATGAATGATGTGTGAGTCTGACGGGTCAGAACAGATGAATGATGTGAGAGACTGACGGGTCAGAACAGATGAATGATGTGAGAGTCTGACGGGACAGAACAGATGAATGATGTGAGAGACTGACGGGTCAGAACAGATGAATGATGTGAGAGTCTGACGGGACAGAACAGATGAATGATGTGTGAGTCTGACGGGTCAGAACAGATGAATGATGTGAGAGACTGACGGGTCAGAACAGATGAATGATGTGTGAGTCTGACGGGTCAGAACAGATGAATGATGTGTGAGTCTGACGGGTCAGAACAGATGAATGATGTGAGAGACTGACGGGTCAGAACAGATGAATGATGTGAGAGACTGACGGGTCAGAACAGATGAATGATGTGAGAGACTGACGGGTCAGAACAGATGAATGATGTGAGAGTCTGACGGGACAGAACAGATGAATGATGTGTGAGTCTGACGGGTCAGAACAGATGAATGATGTGAGAGACTGACGGGTCAGAACAGATGAATGATGTGTGAGTCTGACGGGTCAGAACAGATGAATGATGTGAGAGACTGACGGGTCAGAACAGATGAATGATGTGAGAGACTGACGGGTCAGAACAGATGAATGATGTGTGAGTCTGACGGGACAGAACAGATGAATGATGTGAGAGACTGACGGGTCAGAACAGATGAATGATGTGAGAGACTGACGGGTCAGAACAGATGAATGATGTGTGAGTCTGACGGGACAGAACAGATGAATGATGTGAGAGACTGACGGGTCAGAACAGATGAATGATGTGAGAGACTGACGGGTCAGAACAGATGAATGATGTGTGAGTCTGACGGGTCAGAACAGATGAATGATGTGAGAGACTGACGGGTCAGAACAGATGAATGATGTGAGAGACTGACGGGTCAGAACAGATGAATGATGTGTGAGTCTGACGGGTCAGAACAGATGAATGATGTGAGAGACTGACGGGTCAGAACAGATGAATGATGTGAGAGACTGACGGGTCAGAACAGATGAATGATGTGAGAGTCTGACGGGACAGAACAGATGAATGATGTGTGAGTCTGACGGGTCAGAACAGATGAATGATGTGAGAGACTGACGGGTCAGAACAGATGAATGATGTGTGAGTCTGACGGGTCAGAACAGATGAATGATGTGAGAGACTGACGGGTCAGAACAGATGAATGATGTGAGAGACTGACGGGTCAGAACAGATGAATGATGTGAGAGTCTGACGGGACAGAACAGATGAATGATGTGTGAGTCTGACGGGTCAGAACAGATGAATGATGTGAGAGACTGACGGGTCAGAACAGATGAATGATGTGTGAGTCTGACGGGTCAGAACAGATGAATGATGTGAGAGACTGACGGGTCAGAACAGATGAATGATGTGAGAGTCTGACGGGACAGAACAGATGAATGATGTGAGAGACTGACGGGTCAGAACAGATGAATGATGTGAGAGTACTGACGGGACAGAACAGATGAATGATGTGTGAGTCTGACGGGTCAGAACAGATGAATGATGTGAGAGTCTGACGGGTCAGAACAGATGAATGATGTGAGAGACTGACGGGTCAGAACAGATGAATGATGTGAGAGACTGACGTGTCAGAACAGATGAATGATGTGAGAGTCTGACGGGACAGAACAGATGAATGATGTGAGAGTCTGACGGGTCAGAACAGATGAATGATGTGTGAGTCTGACGGGTCAGAACAGATGAATGATGTGAGAGACTGACGGGTCAGAACAGATGAATGATGTGTGAGTCTGACGGGTCAGAACAGATGAATGATGTGAGAGTCTGACGGGACAGAACAGATGAATGATGTGTGAGTCTGACGGGTCAGAACAGATGAATGATGTGAGAGACTGACGGGTCAGAACAGATGAATGATGTGTGAGTCTGACGGGACAGAACAGATGAATGATGTGAGAGACTGACGGGTCAGAACAGATGAATGATGTGTGAGTCTGACGGGTCAGAACAGATGAATGATGTGAGAGACTGACGGGTCAGAACAGATGAATGATGTGTGAGTCTGACGGGTCAGAACAGATGAATGATGTGAGAGTCTGACGGGACAGAACAGATGAATGATGTGTGAGTCTGACGGGTCAGAACAGATGAATGATGTGAGAGACTGACGGGTCAGAACAGATGAATGATGTGAGAGACTGACGGGTCAGAACAGATGAATGATGTGAGAGACTGACGGGTCAGAACAGATGAATGATGTGTGAGACTGACGGGTCAGAACAGATGAATGATGTGTGAGTCTGACGGGACAGAACAGATGAATGATGTGAGAGACTGACGGGTCAGAACAGATGAATGATGTGAGAGTCTGACGGGTCAGAACAGATGAATGATGTGAGAGACTGACGGGTCAGAACAGATGAATGATGTGTGAGTCTGACGGGTCAGAACAGATGAATGATGTGAGAGTCTGACGGGTCAGAACAGATGAATGATGTGAGAGACTGACGGGTCAGAACAGATGAATGATGTGTGAGAGACTGACGGGTCAGAACAGATGAATGATGTGAGAGTCTGACGGGTCAGAACAGATGAATGATGTGAGAGACTGACGGGTCAGAACAGATGAATGATGTGAGAGACTGACGGGTCAGAACAGATGAATGATGTGAGAGTCTGACGGGTCAGAACAGATGAATGATGTGTGAGTCTGACGGGTCAGAACAGATGAATGATGTGAGAGTCTGACGGGTCAGAACAGATGAATGATGTGTGAGACTGACGGGTCAGAACAGATGAATGATGTGTGAGTCTGACGGGTCAGAACAGATGAATGATGTGAGAGTCTGACGGGTCAGAACAGATGAATGATGTGAGAGACTGACGGGTCAGAACAGATGAATGATGTGTGAGACTGACGGGTCAGAACAGATGAATGATGTGAGAGACTGACGGGACAGAACAGATGAATGATGTGTGAGACTGACGGGTCAGAACAGATGAATGATGTGTGAGTCTGACGGGTCAGAACAGATGAATGATGTGAGAGTCTGACGGGTCAGAACAGATGAATGATGTGAGAGACTGACGGGTCAGAACAGATGAATGATGTGAGAGTCTGACGGGTCAGAACAGATGAATGATGTGAGAGTCTGACGGGACAGAACAGATGAATGATGTGAGAGACTGACGGGTCAGAACAGATGAATGATGTGAGAGTCTGACGGGTCAGAACAGATCAATGATGTGAGAGTCTGACGGGTCAGAACAGATGAATGATGTGAGAGACTGACGGGTCAGAACAGATGAATGATGTGTGAGTCTGACGGGACAGAACAGATGAATGATGTGAGAGACTGACGGGTCAGAACAGATGAATGATGTGTGAGTCTGACGGGTCAGAACAGATGAATGATGTGAGAGACTGACGGGTCAGAACAGATGAATGATGTGTGAGTCTGACGGGTCAGAACAGATGAATGATGTGAGAGTCTGACGGGACAGAACAGATGAATGATGTGTGAGTCTGACGGGTCAGAACAGATGAATGATGTGAGAGACTGACGGGTCAGAACAGATGAATGATGTGAGAGACTGACGGGTCAGAACAGATGAATGATGTGAGAGACTGACGGGTCAGAACAGATGAATGATGTGTGAGACTGACGGGTCAGAACAGATGAATGATGTGTGAGTCTGACGGGACAGAACAGATGAATGATGTGAGAGACTGACGGGTCAGAACAGATGAATGATGTGAGAGACTGACGGGTCAGAACAGATGAATGATGTGAGAGTACTGACGGGTCAGAACAGATGAATGATGTGAGTTCTGTGATGAATAAGAGCATGTTTGAGGAAACTATGAGTTTGTTTATGTCAACAGGTTCAAGGTGTCGTCCACTCACTGTGACATTCAGCTAGATGAGGTTTGTGCCAAACTTTCAACTAATATACAGTATGTGATTCCTGAGGATGTCACACCAAAACATTTATGTATTTGAATATTAGTAGCCAAGAGTTTCATATCAGTATGTCATATCATATCACAGTGTGTTTTCTGTGCCTCAGTGTCTCTACAGCTTTTGCAGCTCTGCTGTATGGGTGAGCTTTGAGAGGCGGGGCCTGAAGGGCATCCGGGTGGAGATTGGCCGCTTGTTCCGCTCCGACAGCTTTAACTCCGCCCTGAACGATCAGTGTGAGGACGTGGAGCCCCGACGCACAGCACTGAACAACAGGTACAGTCCACTCGCTGGAAACACTAGATATAACTAAACTGTAGGCATGTTTGACTGAACTGAAAACTTAAACTGATTTCATATTTTATTCAGTATGTTTCATTAAAAAATTGTTTATTAAAAAATATTTTTAAAGTTTTTTTTTTTAATGTAAATTTTTTTTTTTTTTTTTAGACACACTCTGCAGGAATTCCGTTTTTGTCAAACAGCGACCTCTAGAGTCGCTGTGGAGTACTTGTATTTAACGTCACTGTCGTAAATACCACTCATGCAAAGCGTGACATGGCGTGACGTGTTACATAGTATACAATAGTACATTGTGTTTAATTTGTCGTTTAATGAGATCTAATATAAGTTGTTAATGATGAGAATTTTCACGTGAATAAATACATAGATCCAACTGTTATCCCCATGTACTTTAATGGTCCAGTGGCAGAACTTTTGCCAAGCGTGTCAGAGGTTCTGGGTTCTAGGCTAATCCGCACTAAGTAGTAGTTTGTGCATTATGTTTTATGATTTCACTGTAACGAATATAGAGAGTCTCTCCCCAACGGATTGAAGCGCGTGTCCGAGTGAAGACTGTGCAGAGCACTGTATCCGCGCCACTGATAGCAGCGCCAACGAGCACTTTGGTCACTTGATTTCAAAAACAACACATTTCAGATCGCCTCATATTTAACAAACGAACGAAATGAATGCTCTACTAGAGTTAACTGGAAATGTTTTATTTGTATTGGTACATCCGTGCCGCAAGATGTTTCAAAAGTGATGGGGAAATGTCCCACCCGCAAATTACGCCTATGCTCGTGTCCGACTCCTCGCTCGGTCAGTCTGCCGTTTCCTCTTTCTCTGTTCCTCCGACAATGCTTTCCTAGCTTTCTGCTTCCTATATGCCGGCTCAGCCATGACGATAGTGTGAAAAACTCGTGGAGACGGCCACCATTCAACCCGAAAAACGTCATATAACCATTCCAATAACTCCGAATATTAAATATTTATGATTTAATGTTATATGATTTTAGTTATCTTTCTTTGTTGATACATACACCACGCATTCATTCATGGAAAGAAGAAAAAAAAATGTTTATTCCTTTTATCACCAAAGCACAGCAGAACCCAGATTTTTAAAAATGCGTGACAAATTTATTCTAAATGTTTTTATGCATATATTAATGAAGATTCTTTAGAGGTGTGCTTTTACTGGCCCATCTCTCACTCTCGGTCTCCTGACTTTGACCCAGGAAGTCAGAGCGACGCCCGGCGCTGAGCAAGATCCTGACCCAGTGTTCCCCTCTGATGGCCTCTCTGCTGCCCACGCCACAGGAGAATGCCCCGCACCTGTTTAGGCGCTTCAGACGTGGTAAACTGCCCTCGACTGAACGCTGTGATTCAGAGGCTCTGATGGATGGGCTAAAAAAGCAGCTAAAGTCTCTTAGGTAATACTTTTGAATTATTTACAACTGATGTAATAAAAAGCATAGTATATGTGTCTATATCACTTTTGTTTCTAATGGTCCCTGTTGCCTGATTGTATCAACTTTCTTTTGCATTTAGCTTTGGCATTCTTGGAAAGCCTTTGAGCCAATTCAGCTCGAAGACACTGAAGCCCCAGGAAGGCCAGAGTGAAGAGGAGGAAGATGAGGGTAACGACAGCGGTCTGGTGAACCCTGACCCACACTTACACATCAAGAGTAGGAAAACCTCTGCCACGGGCCAAAGATCACTGACCACAACTGCAGACAGACACATCCGCTCGAGGCGAGTTGACCTAGTCTCCAGAGCAACCACTGAAGCAGTGTCCTCAGACACAGAATAAATACAAAGATCTGTCATGAAACTCTAGATGGCGCAGGCTGATACCTAGACCCAGTCTGCTTGCAATCACATCATTCTCTACAGGACATAGCTGATTGATCCCGCCATATCAGTAGCCAATGAGCTTGCTGCTCAACATTCAAATACTTGCCTATTGTCCGTAGTGCACTTTTAGAAACCCTCTACCTTCCCCAGCTCAACCTGTATAGATCTGCTACGGTTAATTAATGTATGCTTGTGCAGCAGCAGCATGTCTGTCTTGCTCACAGCAGCATGTTGTGTATGTATTGGCAGTAGACAGCAGCAGCAATAATCAACAACAGCAGCAGCAACAATGACAAACAGCAGCATTAACAAACAGCAGCAACAATAACAGCAGCAATAATCAACAACAGCAGCAGCCACAATAACAGCAGCACCAATAACAAACAGCAGCAACAATAACAGCAGCAGCAATAACAAACTGCAGCAATAACCAACAGCAGCAACAATAACAACAGCAGCAATAACCAACAGCAGCAATAATAACAGCAGCAATAACAAACAGGAGCAACAATAACCATCACCAGCAATAATAACAACAGCAGCAACAATGACAAACAGCAGCAACAATAACAGCAGCAGCAATAACAAACAGCAGCAACAATAACAACAGCAGCAATAACAAACAGCAGCAATAACAAACAGGAGCAACAATAGCCATCACCAGCAATAATCAATAACAGCAGCAGCAGCAACAATGACAAACAGCAGCAACAATAACAGCAGCAGCAGCAATAATCAACAGCAGCAACAATAACCATCACCAGCAATAACAAACAGGAGCAACAATAACCATCACCAGCAATAATAACAACAGCAGCAATAACAAACAGGAGCAACAATAACCATGGTAAATGGTAAATGGACTGCATTTATATAGCGCTTTCACAGACCCAATGGCCACTAAAGCGCTTTACAATTTGCCTCACATTCACCCATTCACTCACTCATTCATACACCGACGGGCGACGGCAGCCATGCAAGGCGCTATCCAGCTCGTCGGGAGCAGCTGGGGTTAGGTGTCTTGCTCATGGACACCTCGACACTTGGTCAGGTGGAACCGAGGATTGAACCACCAACCTTCCGGTTTGTAGACAACCAACATGAACCACTGAGCCACTGCCGCCCTAATAACCATCACCAGCAATAATAACAACAGCAGCAATAACAAACAGAAGCAACAATAACAACTGCAGCAATAATCAACAGCAGCAGCAGCAATAATCAACAGCAGCAACAATAACCATCACCAGCAATAACAAACAGCAGCAACAATAACCATCACCAGCAACAATAACAGCAGCAACAATAACAAACAGGAGCAACAATAACAACACCAGCAACAATAACAACTGCAGCAATAATCAACAGCAGCAACAATAACCATCAGCAGCAACAATAACAACAGCAGCAACAATCAACAGCAGCAACAATAACAACAGCAGCAACAATGACAAACAGCAGTGACAATGACAAACAGCAGCAGCAGAAATAATCAAAAGCAGTAGCAATAATCAACAGCAGCAACAATAACCATCACCAGCAATAACAAACAGCAGCAACAATAACCATCACCAGCAACAATAACAGCAGCAACAATAACAAACAGGAGCAACAATAACAACACCAGCAACAATAACAACTGCAGCAATAATCAACAGCAGCAACAATAACCATCAGCAGCAACAATAACAACTGCAGCAATAATCAACAGCAGCAACAATAACAACAGCAGCAACAATGACAAACAGCAGTGACAATGACAAACAGCAGCAGCAGAAATAATCAAAAGCAGTAGCAATAATCAACAGCAGTAACAATAATCAACAGCAGCAATAATAATCAACAGCAGCAACAATCAATAGCAGCAGCAATAACAGCAACAATGACAAACAGCAATAACAAACAGCAGAAACAATAACAGCAGCAGCAATAACAAACAGGAGCAACAATAATCAACAGCAGCAGCAATAATCAACAGCATCAACAATAATCAACAGCAGCAACAATAATCAACAGCAGCAACAATAATCAACAGCAGCAACAATCAATAGCAGCAGCAATAACAAACAGCAGCAGCAACAATAACAGCAGCAGCAATAACAAACAGGAGCAACAATAACCATCAGCAGCAACAATAACAACAGCAATGACAAACAGCAGTGGCAATGACAAACAGCAGCAGCAGAAATAACCAACAGCAGCAGCAGTAGCAATAATCAACAGCAGCAGCAATGATCAACAGAAGCAGCAATGATCAACAGCAGCAACAATAATCAATAGCAGCAACAATAATCAATAGCAGCAGCAATAACAGCAACAATGACAAACAGCAGCAGCAATAACAAACAGTAGCAGCAATAGCATCAAAAGAAGCAGCACCATCACCAGCAGCAGCAGCAGCAGCAGCAATAACCAACAACAGCAGCAATAACAGCACAAGCAATAACAGCAACAGCAGCAGTAATAACAGCAGCAGCAAAAACCAACAGCAGCAGCAATAACCAAGAGCAGCAACAATAATCAACAGCTGCGGCAATAAAAGCAGCAGCACCAACAACAGCAGCAGCCGCAATAAAAGCAGCAGCAGCAATAACATCAAAAGCAGCAGCAATAACAGCAGCAGCAGTAATAACAGCAGCAATAGCAGCAGCAGCAGCAGCCGCAATAACCAACAGCAGCAGCAGCAATAACAGCAACAGCAGCAGTAATAATAGCAACAGCAGCAGTAATAACAGCAGCAGCAGCAGCAATAACCAACAGCACCAGCAGCAATAACAGCAACAGCAGCAGCAGCAATAACAGCAACAGCAGTAGCAGCAGCAATAACAGCAGCAGCAGCAGCAATAACAGCAGCAGCACCAGCAGCAATAACAGCAACAGCAGTAGCAGCAGCAATAACAGCAGCAGCAGCAGCAGCAATAACAGCAGCAGCAGCAGCAGCAATAACAGCAGCAGCAATAACAGCAGCAGCAGCAGCAATAACAGCAACAGCAGTAGCAGCAGCAGCAATAACAGCAGCAGCAGCAGCAATAACAGCAGCAGCAATAACAGCAGCAGCAGCAGCAATAACAGCAACAGCAGTAGCAGCAGCAGCAATAACAGCAGCAGCACCAGCAGCAATAACAGCAACAGCAGTAGCAGCAGCAATAACAGCAGCAGCAGCAGCAGCAATAACAGCAGCAGCAGCAGCAGCAATAACAGCAGCAGCAATAACAGCAGCAGCAGCAGCAATAACAGCAACAGCAGTAGCAGCAGCAGCAATAACAGCAGCAGCAGTAGCAGCAGCAGCAGCAATAACAGCAGCAGCAGCAATAACAGCAACAGCAGTAGCAGCAGCAATAACAGCAACAGCAGTAGCAGCAGCAATAACAGCAGCAGCAGCAGCAATAACAGCAGCAGCAGCAGCAATAACAGCAGCAGCAGCAGCAATAACAGCAACAGCAGCAGCAGCAGCAATAACAGCAACAGCAGTAGCAGCAGCAATAACAGCAGCAGCAGCAGCAGCAATAATAGCAACAGCAGTAGCAGCAGCAATAACAGCAGCAGCAGCAGCAGCAGCAATAATAGCAACAGCAGCAGCAGCAGCAGCAATAACAGCAGTAGCAGCAGCAGCAATAACAGCAACAGCAGTAGCAGCAGCAATAACAGCAGTAGCAGCAGCAGCAATAACAGCAACAGCAGTAGCAGCAGCAATAACAGCAGCAGCAGCAGCAATAACAGCAGCAGCACCAGCAGCAATAACAGCAACAGCAGCAGCAGCAGCAGCAATAACAGCAGCAGCAGCAATAACAGCAGCAGCACAAGCAGCAATAACAGCAACAGCAGTAGCAGCAGCAATAACAGCAGCAGCAGCAGCAATAACAGCAACAGCAGTAGCAGCAGCAATAACAGCAGCAATAACAGCAGCAATAACAGCAGCAGCAGCAATAACAGCAACAGCAGCAACACCAGCAGCAATAACAGCAACAGCAGCAGCAGCAGCAACAGCAGCAACACCAGCAGCAGCAGCAGCCGCAATAATCAACAGCAGCAGCAGCAATAACAGCAACAGCAGCACCAGCAGCAATAACAGCTACAGCAGCACCAGCAGCAATAACAGCAGCAGCAGCAGTAATAATAGCAGTAGCAACAATAGCAGGAGCAATAACCAACAGCACCAGCAGCAATAACAGCAACAGCAGCACCAGCAGCAATAACAGCTACAGCAGCAGCAGCAACACCAGCAGCAATAACAGCTACAGCAGCAGCAACACCAGCAGCAATAACAGCAACAGCAGCAATAACAGCAACAGCAGCAGCAGCAATAACAGCAGCAGCAGCAATAACAGCAACAGCAGCAATAACAGCAATAACCGCAACAGCAGCAGCAAGCAGCAGCAATAACAGCAATAACAGCAACAGCAGCAGCAATAACAGCAGCAGCAGCAACAGCAGCAGCAACAACAGCAACAGTAATAACAGCAGCAGCAGCAATAATCAACAGCAGCAGCAATAACAGCAGAACTATTCCGCTAAGCAGGGGCGCCGCTAGCAATTTTGGGCCCTATGAAAGAATATGAGGTTGGTATACCGCACCCATTCCATTAATACAATCGATCTCTGGAGGCCCCAAAAGTGAATGGGCCCTTAGGCCGGAGACACACTGGCTGCGTGGCGTGAGCGTGGCGTTTCTGTTGCGTGTCAGTTGCGTGTCGGCTGTGTCTCGTTTTCTGTGTCTTTGCACACCAGAAGCGTGTCTGACGCGGCGCTGCGTGGCGTAAACAAATACATATTCGCTATATGTGACATAGAGGGAGGGCGCCGACAGACCAGTCTACATTTGGATTACTGTTGCTCTTGCCTTTACGACAACAATTTCAACTTTTATCACGCATCTTCCAAAATCCGAAAAATAGGGAAACATGCGGCTGTCTGTTTATTTCAATAACATTTACAAATTTTGTGTAGCTTTAAAGAGCCTATATTTAGCCTACCTGATGTTGGACCGTCACTCAGAAGACACACTACGATGTTATTGTAGCCTATCCTAACTTTATATCCTCCTGAGGCCCAGAAAGTTTTTTTCAAAGAATTTTTTAATTTTTTTTTTCATGTAATCACATTGTTA